CGCATCTCCCCACTGGTCACATCCCTCCTGATGCTGCCCGCCCCCCCCAGTCTGTCCCCCTGGCACCCCTACCCAGCCTCTCCACCCATCTCTGCACCCTTGCCCACCCTCACCCCTGTCCCAAGTCCACCCTGGTGCCCCTCAGCCCTCACTGCTCTTCTTGTCCCCGCAGGGCCCCACTCCTTGCAGTACTTTAATGTCGTGGTGTTGGAACCCAGCCCCGGGGTGCCCGAGTTTGTGGAAGTGGGGTTCCTGGATGGGACCCTCATCTCGCGCTACGACAGCGAGACGGGGAGGACTGTGCCCCGGGCGGACTGGATGGCGGCCAACCTGGACCAGCAGCACTGGGACACCCAGACCTGGATCTCACAGAGGAATCACCGGGTTGCCCGTGTGGACCTGGAGACAGTGCAGGGCAGCTACAACCAGAGCGGGAGTGAGTGTGGGCTGGGCTGGGGCTCCGTGGGGCTGGGATGGGCTCAATGTCCCCAACCCAAGGGGGTTACAGCTGCCCTGCCCCACACCCCCAGTGCTTGGGGTCCCCTATCCCAGAGCCAGGGGGGTCTTCTGGCCTCCCCATCATAGCTCCTCACATCCCCATGGCAGCTGTGACTCTCAGACCCAGAAGAGCTCCCAGCATCTTGCCATCCCCATGGTGCTCAGGGCCCCTACCCCAGAGCCAGAGGGGCACCCCCAACTAGATCCCATCTCCTTGCCCTCCTCGTGGCATTCAGAACCCCATGCCAGCCCCTCATTGTCCCAGGGAGCTGTGGGGCAGGGTGCTAACCATGGCATTGCCATGGGTGCAGGGGTCTGCATCACAGCTTTATGTGACACCCCAAGTGCTGTGGGCCCTGGGCAGGATGGGGGGCAGCCCTGGTGCCGGTGGCTGTTCCCCCCAGGGCTCACGCAGGGCTGGGTTGAGGGTCCTACCAGGGGGTCTGTGCCCCACTGATGTCCCAGGGCTGCAGCAGCCCCTCAGCCCCATCTCCCTGGTCGTGTTCCAGGGGCTCACATGCGGCAGGAAATGTACGGCTGTGACCTCCTGGAGGATGGTCGCACCAGGGTGTATTGGCAGATCGCCTACGATGGGAGGGACTTCATCACCTTCAACATGGACACGATGATGTTCACCACAGCGGATATGGTGGCACAAATCACCAAGAGGCAGTGGGAGGAGGACGGGACTGTCGCTGAGCAGTGTAAGCACTACCTGGAGAACACCTGCATCGAGTCATTGAAGAAATTTGTGAGCTACGGTCGGGCTGTGCTGGAGAGGAAAGGTGAGGGGGAGACGGGGACCGAGGGGACCGGCCAGCGTGGGTGCGTGTGCCGGCCCTCACTGCCACCCCCTCCCCAGAGCGCCCCACGGTGCGAGTGTCGGGGAAGGAGGCCCACGGGATCCTGACCTTGCACTGCCGCGCTTACGGCTTCTACCCGCGGCCCATCACCGTCAGCTGGCTGAAGGACGGGGAGGTCAGGGACCAGGAGACGGAGCGTGGGGGCACCGTGCCCAACAGCGACGGCACCTACTACACCTGGGCCTCCATCGAGGCCAACCCGGGGGAGAAGGACAAGTACCGGTGCCGCGTGGAGCACGCCAGCCTGCCCGAGCCCCAACTCTATGCGTGGGGTGAGCCCGGTGGCCTTGTGCCCGGGGAGGGGAGGGCTGGGGTGGTTCCCCTTCCCCTGCTCATGGTGGTGCTTCCCTCCAGAGACGGAGTCCAACCTGGTGGCCATCGTGGCGGGGGTGGCTGTTGCTGCAGTCCTGGTTGTCGCTGCCATCTGTGGATTCATCATGTGGAAGCAGAAGTCAGGTAAAGCATCGGGGCCGGTGAGGCAGAGGGGTGCGGGGGGAAGGCAGGGCCTGGGGGGCCGGGAGGGGCTGTGGGCACGAGCCGCTGTGCTCTGGGGAGCCCCCGAGGCTGTCGGTGAAGCGCGGTGGATGCTGATGCCTCTTTCTCTCTGCAGAGATGAAGAAGGGCTACGGCGTGGCGTCAGGTGAGTACCGGGGGCAGGTCCCGCTCCTGCCTGGTTCTGGGGGGGTCTCACGGCTCTGGTTCCTGGCTGTTGCTGGCATTTCCTCCCCCCTGCCCTTTTCCCTGTGTCCCTGGAGTGGGGACATACGGAAGAGGTCGTGTCTCCCCGTGGGGCTCCCATCCTCCTCTCCCGGTGGCCCCAGCGTGGCCGTGGCTCCTGGCACGTGCACCGTGCCCGTATCGAGCCCGGGGCTGGCAGCTCACGGCTGTTTCTCTCTCGCAGGCACGGACGGGGGCTCTGACTCCTCGGCCAAAGGTACGGTGTGGGGATGGACGGGGCGGCCCCAGCTCTCCCTGCTCCCCTGTGGGACCCACAGCAACCCCAGGCTGCATGAGGGGGGGCACTGAGAGCCCCTTGAGCAGAGGGTTGAGGAGAGGGAGGTGTCCCTGGGTGACACTGTCTGTCCCTGCAGGGGTCGTCTCCCGACGGCTGTCAGAGGGACCGGCGTGTGGATGGATTCGGCCCCTGCCCTCTCATCCACTGGAGGCAGAGAGGGGCTGGGGGGAGCTGGGAGATGATGGCAGAGAGAGCTTGTCCCCCTGCCCCCCCTTGCCCCACTGTATCATCTCCCGACGGCTGTCAGAGGGACCGGCGTGTGGATGGATGTGGCTCCTGCCTTCTCATCCACTGGAGGCAGAGAGGGGCTGGGGGGAGCTGGGAGATGATGGCAGAGAGAGCTTGTCCCCCTGCCCCCCCTTGCCCCACTGTGGTCGTTCCAGCCAGGATGAGGTTAATTGTCACAAGGAACTGGGATTGGACACAGCCGGGTTGACCCAAACTGGGTGACGTTTGTACGGGGCACCAGCTGGGCAGAGGAACGGGACAGATGGATTCTGTGGCCTGGCTCCGTGTGTCCCCGCAGTGACCAGGAGGAGGACACTTTGAGGAAGTGAAGATACTTCAGTGATCCAAGTGGGCACTGGTGGGCTGCTGTAGCTACAGAGATGTGTCACAGAGCAGTGTGCCCCCGTGGCCAAGAGCATCCTGGCCTGGATCAAGAAGATTTTGCCAGCAGGACTAGGGATGTGATCACCCCCCCTGTATCCAGCGCTGGTGAGGCTCCACCTCAGAACTCTGCTCAGTTCTGGGACGCTCACTACAAGAGAGACATTGAGGTGCTGGATGGTGACACGAACCCTTCGCTGGGCACCCTGTTCCGGTGCATGACATCCCTTTCTGTGAAGAAGTTCTTCCTAATATCCAATCTAAACCTCCCCTGGTGCTACTCGAGGCTGTTCCTCTCATCCTATCTCAGCTTGAAGGCTTGAGATAACAATGGATCTGCCCAGAACATGTTAAACCAAATTTGGTTTATGTATTTATTATATGTAGTCGCCAGCGACTAATTAATTTGACAGGTTTGTTGACCTGACGCTGTTTTGTAAATTCTGAGCTGCTCTATGTACTCCCCTGCTCCGGGAGAGGGATCAGTATTATCATTCTGCTGCCTTGTGTAATAAATATCGATATGACAGCATCACTGTTGAGGTGCTGGTTTGGTTGGGTGTTTACGTGGCATTGCTGTCCTCGAGTGCCATCTCTCAGCATTTATGATCGATGGCACCCAATCTGTGGTGGGAACCGGGGGGATCCTTCCCCCGGCTCTTTGGCCTCCCCTTTCTCCTTTGGGCCAGTGCAACAGCTGCATCGGTGGATAAGGAAAGAGCACCTGACATCATCTACCTGGACTTGCACAAGGCATTTGACACTGTCCTGTGTGATGTCCTTGTGCCTAAATTGGAGAGACATGGATTGGACAGATGGACAATGTGGGGGAACTGGCTGGCTGGTGGCACTCAAATGGTTGCAATCAAAGGCTCAGTGTCCAAGTGGAAGCCAGTGATGAGTGGTGTTCCTCAGGGGTCGGTACTGGGACCAGTGCTGTTCAGCATCTTTGTTGGAGACATGGACAGTGGGATCAGTGCACCCTCAGCAAGTTTGCTGATGACACCAAGCTGTGTGGTGTGGTTGACATGCTGGAGGGAAGGGCTGTGCCACCCAGAGGGAGCTGGACAGGCTGGAGAGGTGAGACAAAGCCAGCTTCATGAAGTTCAACCAGGCCAAGTGCAGGTTCCTGCCCCTGGGTCAGGGCAATCCCAGGCACAAATCCAGGCTGGGTGGAGAATGGCTGGAGAGCACCCCCGAGGAGAAGAACTTGGGGGTGTTGGTGGAGGAGAAGCTCAACATGAGCCAGCAAGGTAGGCTGGCAGCCCAGAAAGCCCCCTGCACCCTGGGCTGCATCCCCAGCAGTGTGGCCAGCAGGGCAAGGGGGGGCGTTCTGCCCCTCTGGGTCACTCTGGGGAGACACCCCCCGAGTGCTGCCTCCAACATCAGAAGGACATAGAGCTGTTGGAGCGGGGCCAGAGGAGGCCCTGGAGATGCTGGGAGGGCTGGAGCCCCTCTGTTGGGAGGGGGGGCTGAGGGAGTTAGGGGGGTTCAGCCTGGAGAAGAGAAGGCTCCAGGGAGACCTTGTAATGGCCTTCCAATATCTGAAGGGGCTACAGAAGAGCTGGGGAGGGACTCTTGGTCAGGGAGTGTACTGCTAGGACAAGGGGTAATGGTTTTAAACTAAATGAGGGCAGATTTGGATTAGATACTAGAAAGAAATTCTTTGCTGTGAGGGTGGTGAGAGCCTGGCCCAGGTTGCCCAGAGAAGCTGTGGCTGCCCCATCCCTGGAGGGGTTCAAAGCCAGGTTGGAGGGGGCTTGGAGCAACCTGGTGTGGTGGGAGGTGTCCCTGCCCAGGGCAGGGGGTGGCACTGGATGATCTTTAAGGTGCTTTCCAACCCAAATCGTTCCATTCTTCTTTCTCACCTTGAGCACTCCCAATGAAGGAGCATCCACAACTTCTCCAGGCAGTCTGGTCCAGCCACTCACCACCCTCCTCATAAAACATTTCTAATGTCCCGAGTCCAGTCACCACAGGCCGTGGTAAAAAGTCTCTCTCCATCCTGTTTCCTCGAGGGAAGCTGCAGAAGTCAAAGCCACCCATCTGGCCCTAGAGAAATGTGGCCAGTGCCCTGTCTCCATACTGACTTGTTGAGGGTGGCCAGTGCCCTGTGGGAGGTGGCTACTGGGATGGTGGCAGAGGTGACCCCTCTGGGCTGGACCTTTCTGCCTGGGTAGAGTCCATCATGTAGATTTTTGTGAGCCACGTCCCTGGTGAATATCAACGTGAGTAGACCATGTGACTAAAATTGGAGTGGTTCAGGTAGACCTGGACCGGAAACGTTGTCAGGAGCTGTCACACCTCGGTGGCCCATGGGACAGAGGGGTAGAACCCCTCTGTCCCACCCTATGGGTGGGCTTGTGACCACTCCCAATGAAGGAGCATCCACAACTTCTCCAGGCAGTCTGGTCCAGCCACTCACCACCCTCCTCATAAAACATTTCTAATGTCCCGAGTCCAGTCACCACAGGCCGTGGTAAAAAGTCTCTCTCCATCCTGTTTCCTCGAGGGAAGCTGCAGAAGTCAAAGCCACCCATCTGGCCCTAGAGAAATGTGGCCAGTGCCCTGTCTCCATACTGACTTGTTGAGGGTGGCCAGTGCCCTGTGGGAGGTGGCTACTGGGATGGTGGCAGAGGTGACCCCTCTGGGCTGGACCTTTCTGCCTGGGTAGAGTCCATCATGTAGATTTTTGTGAGCCACGTCCCTGGTGAATATCAACGTGAGTAGACCATGTGACTAAAATTGGAGTGGTTCAGGTAGACCTGGACCGGAAACGTTGTCAGGAGCTGTCACACCTCGGTGGCCCATGGGACAGAGGGGTAGAACCCCTCTGTCCCACCCTATGGGTGGGCTTGTGACGGTGGGGTGGACCTGACCCCTGCAGCCATCGCACAGGTCCTTCATGAGTGTGAGCGATGCGCTGGAATCAAGTGAAACTCCTCGGGTATAAAGGCTGGTGGCAGTGATACCACGAAGTGTGCCCCGGCCACCCCATTGTCCCCATCCCCACCCACCCATCCCTGCACCTTCCCACCCCAGCTCTGGAGTCCCCCAACACATCCTGGGTACAATGAGAAGGATTTATATCAAACTCTGTGTTTCGTGTCCAGTCTTGTTGGTCACCAGCCCCACTGGCACCCGGTGCCCCCCATGGTCACTGTAAGGCAGCAGGTACATGGACGTGTTCCTGGCCTGGTACTTCCACTTGCCAATGACAACTCTCATGGTCCCTTGTCACAGCTTTTGGTGTCCCCATCCCATCTCTCAGTGTCCCCACCGCCAGCTCCTACTGTCCCTCACCCTCCTTCCCCGTGTCCCCAGCTCCTGTTGTTGATTAATGATACCACACTGAGGTCAGCGCCGCGGTGACAACGAACGGGTGGCTTTGATGCCCAAGACCATGCAGCTGGTCCAGGAAGTTCCCCCCGACCCCTGCAACCCAGCCAGCTCCTCTCCGAAGCAATTTGGCTTTATTTCGTACAAATCTCGCTCCCAACGGGAGCAGCCCCCGGGGCAGGAGCCGGCTCCTGCTCCCCGCAGCCCATCCCTGGGGTCTCCGGCTGCCCTGCGCCGGGGGAACGCTGCAGCAGGCGGCTGTAGGGCCCACCTCGGCTCCGCAGCTGGGCGGGCGTCCCCGTCTCCACCACAGCGCCGCGTTCCAGCACCACGACGCGGTCGGCCGCCTCCAGCATCCGTGGGCAGTGGGTGATGAGCAGCACCGTCCCGGTGCCCCCGCTCCGCACCCACTGCTGCAGCTGCAGGAGATACCGACACCCATCACAACCCGCCCTGGGGCTCGGACCTCCCCCCTCCTCACACCCCAGCACCTCCCGCTGCTCACCGCCGCCTCCCCCTCCCCGTCCAAGGCGCTGGTGGCTTCGTCAAGGATGAGGAGTGTGGGTCGCCGCACCAGGGCCCGGGCGATGGCGATGCGCTGCTTCTCCCCAGCCGAGAGCTGCCCCCCCTTCTCCCCAACGTCTGCGGAACAAAAGGACAGGGTCTGAGCAGGACGCGGGTGCCTGGGTCCCCCTTCCCACCAGCCCCCGCTCCAGTACTCACCAGTGTCAAAACCCCGGTCCAGCGCTGAGATGAAGCCCAGGGCACCGGCAGCAGCGGCGGCCGCCGTCACCTCCTCCTCCCCGCAGCCCTCCAGCCCGAAGATGATGTTGTCCCGGATGGTGCCGGAGAAAAGCACCGGCTCCTGCCCCACCAACACCACCTGCCCCGCAAGGCGCAGGTTGAGACCGGGCACCGCTCAGCGCAGTTGTGCTGAGCGCCTGCCCACTGCTGCCCTCCTCACCTGGCGGTGGAGGTACTGGTGCTCATAGTCACGCAGAGGCACCCCGTCCAGCAGCACCTCCCCGCCGTCAGGCTCGTAGAACCGCTCCAGCAGCGCCGCGCAGGTGCTTTTCCCGCTGCCGTTGAGTCCTGCCAACGCCGTCACCTCGCCGGGGCGCAGCTCGAAGGAGACGTCCTGGGTGGTGGTGGGGGAGAGCAGGATGTGGTAGGGGTGGTGGGTGCCCAGGGGACACCCCTGTCCCTCCTTGGGGGATGCAGACCCCGGGCTCTACCTGCAGGACGAGGTGGTCGGGGCGCGTGGGGTAGGCAAAGGAGACGTGCTGGAAGGTGACGTGGCCCCGCAGCGTGGTGGGTGCCCGTGTGCCCCCGGTGTCCCCAGTGGGTTCCTGGTCCAGGTACTTCAAGACCTTGCCACCAGCTGCTGCTTTGCTCAGCAGGTCGCCGTGGCCAAACACCAGCGCCTGTGTGGGGCAGAGATGACGGCACCGGGGACGGGGACAGATCAAGACAGTGTAGGGGGACACCTGGGGTGTAGGGGGACACATCGCGTGGTCTCACCTGCACGTAGCGGCCAACTTTACCCTGGTAGAGGAGGAAGGTGACGAGGTCGCCGGCGGTGATGGCCCCCTCACGGAGATGCCGGTGCCCGTGGCAGAGCACCAGCACCTGCACAGCCAGCTGCAGCGCCTGCAGGGACAGGGGTCGGTGGGTTGTAGTGGGGGGGACAACAGGGACACCCAGACACCGGGGTCTCTCCTGTGCCCGCCTCACCCGCTGGATGAGGGTGAAGAGCGCCCGCTCCACATCGATCTGGTCCTTCAGCCCCAGCATCTCAGCCACCGCCCGGCTGTGGCGGCGCTTCTCCTCCTCCTCCCCAGCGAAGGTCCGCACCGTCTCGATGGAGGAGACGGCCTCCTGCACCACCGCTGCCGTCTTGGCCGTGGCGTCCAGCATGGCTCGCTGCAGCACCTGGGTGGGGGCAGCTGGACTCAGCACCCGTGGGGTGGCAATGGGACATCCCCACTGGCCTGGTCCTGCCCATCCCCTCCCCACCAGCCCCAAAGCTCTGCCCCCCCCACCCCAAGGTCCCCACTCCACCATCTCCATCCCTGCCAATCCCATCCTATTCCCACTGACCCCCTCCCCACCATCCCCACCACAGTCCCCATCTGCATGTCCGCATCCCACCATCCCATCCCCACTGTCCCATTCTGTCCTGTTCCATTCATTCCAGTCCCCGCCTCCATCTCCACTTTGCTGTCCCCATTCCCACCACCTCAAGCCATTCCCATCCTACCATCCCATCCATCTCCTTGTCCTCACCCCACCATCTTGTCCCCACCACTCTCATTATCCCACCGCACCATCCTCATCCTGCCACCCTGTCCCCACCATCCTATCCTGTCACCACCATTCCTATTCTCACCATCCCACCATTCCTCTGATCCTCACCCCCTCCTTCCTGTCCCTCTTCCAGCCCCACTCCCAGTATCCTGTCCCCCTGCTTCCCATCCCATCCCCACCATTCCATCCAGTCCTTGGCATTCTGTTTGCCACCACCTTGTCCCCCTGGTCTCCATCCCACCATTCCATCCCTACCATTCCACCCTGTCCCGATCCTGCTATCCCATCCCATTCCATCCCCACCATACCATCTCCCTGATCCCATTACCACCATCCCATTTCCCTGGTCCACATCCTGCCATTCCATCCCCACCATCCCACCCAGTCCCCACCATTCCAACCCCCACCATCCCATCTGCCTGGTCCCCACTGCCTACCTCATCCCCACTGCCCCATTCTTCATCCCACCATCCCATCCCATCTCCCTGATCCCCATTCCCGTTCCCACCATCACATCCCCTTGGTCTCCATCCTGTCCCCATCATCACCTCGTATCGGGCATCGTAGACCTTGCGCGCGGTGATGGTGAGGGGCACCTCCAGCAGCGCCAGTAGTGCCAGGTGAGGTGACAGGCCCACCATGAAGCCACCCAATGCCAACACCATCGCCAAACTCCTCAACGCTATGTTGATGCTGCTCGGCACCGCCCGGCACAGCAAGGGCACGTCGTTGGCCAAGCGGGCGGAGAGCTCAGCTGTGGGGATGGGGAGGGGGTAAGTGGTGGGACTGGGGGTCCTGGGGTGGGGTGGGGTGATGGGGACCTCCTCTACCTGCCGGTGTCTTCTGGAAGAAGGTGAGATCCTGGTGCACCAAGCGGGAGAAGAGCTGGTGACGGGTGCTCAGTTTGAGCCGGGCTTGCGCGA